TGGGCCGAAGTGGGTGGGCTGGGCATGAGGCTGTAGGCCTGGGTCCACGCCGTTTCATATTTGAATTTCAAGGACCTGCGGCCCCCACGCCGTTTCAAAATATTTTAGACCACGGCCACCTACCGGTTCCCAGGAAAATGCCAGGGGCAAATACCGGTCCTGCATTTGCTTGAACTGCGCTCCCCCCCCTAAATGCCAGTGCCTTTCATTTTACCAGCCTTTGAAGGACCAATGGGCCCGAATGAACGACCGGTATAACGAACGAGGACGAAAATGTCTCAGGGGGGGAAAACGCAGCCCTGACGGGCGGCGAACTGCGTCACTCGAGGCCACACGTGATGGAAATCCTGAACGGAGTGGTAGAATACTTCGCTAATGGGTCCAGGTCCCAGAGGAGACTGCAAAATCCCTTGCCCCGCGCCTTCCCAGGAATAGTACATTTGCGAATTTGGTAGATCCGTGTGACCCGCCATTTCCCTTTTTTTGGGGGATTTTGGGATTATAGGTCCCCGTGTGGGTATGCCCTAAGCCCGTCGGAGTCCTTCGGGACATCCGTTAAAATTGGGACGATACAGAGAAGATTAGCATGGCCCCTGCGCAAGGATGACACGCATAAATCGAGAAATGGTCCAAGCCCGTCGGAAGGGTACCAATCCCTTCCAAGTCGCCAGAAACCAGAATTACTTACCGAAAAAAGTCAGACATATTTGGTAGGGGAATTCGAACTCAGGTCTGTATTCAACAGTTGGGGAGTACCAATTGAGGGGATACTTACACTAGCACGTTTTTACTTATTTCTGGACGGAATTGCCGCCACATGCATACCAGTCGGGCCGTAAATGCAATCAGGTACAGTTAAGATAGTGGTAGTGTGAGTACGCCATTGCGTTAAGATAGTGGTAGTGTGAGTACGCCCTGAGCTAAGGCTCCCGTTGGTGCGTACCACCCCCTTTCCGAGCCGCCGCGCTCTTGCTCCCTCAATTTTGGCGGGAATGTTCCGCTCTTTCGCCGTCAGTTTTGGCGGGAACGTTTGGCGGGCTCAGCTCTGCTCATTTCGATTCACTTCTTCGGCTGGCTTTCCTTTCCCCGTTCGGATTAAGAGATTCTGGCCGTTGATCGTTGCTATCTACGGTCAATATCGCTTAATTCGTCTGAGGACGGCTGTGCTACCGGTAGACTTGCAGGAAATCAAACGCGTAGCTCTACTTGGCATTGCTCCAATCCCCTCTCCTCCAGTTCTGTTTGCCGCCGTTCCGTTCCGTTCCGCTGATAGCCATCACTAATTCAGGTACGTCATCTCGACTCCTGCTTTCTTCTCCAGCTCAACCTTCCTGTGGGCCTTTTTCGTGTCCTCGCAGCATTCTTCGACATCTACAATTCCGTAATTGCACCTTAGTGCTCTCTCTCTCTCTCTCTCTCTCTCTCTCTCTCTCTCTCTCTCTCTCTCTCTCTCTCTCTCTCTACGCCACTTCTCTCTCGCTCGTTTCCTGCCCTTCGTCCATATACCCTCCTGACTCTGGCCGGTGCCCCTTCCTCTTCTCCGTTCTCTGCAGTCTCTCTCTTCTTCTCCGTCATCCTCTCCTCCTCGTCCTCTCCTGTCCACCTTCTTCTCCTCGTTATCCTCCTGCACACT